CACATTTGCTTGTGCACCCATTTTGTCTTCAGCATTCCTGTCAGGAAGGTGAGCATCATAGAATGCCGATTGTTAGAACAAAGTGTTCTTGTGTTGAGGGAGTACTTGAGTCGAAGCCCAATGTCCATCTGCTACCTTAATTCTTAACATGTAGATATGAGTACAAATCTCTATTCTCCTCTCATTATATGTATATTTACATATGTACATGCCTGTATTTAGGCCTCTATAAATGTCCTTTGCCTCCTGGTTCTTTCCTCTATTTCCTTTTACTTCTCTTTTGTCCCACCATCATGTTTGGCCTTTATTCGGGTTTAGTAATTCCTCGCTGCTACATTGCATGCCTTGGCTTTTAAAAAGCCTGTGGGCAGTCATCAGGCACAACTGGGCAGTGGACAAGAAAGGGGCGCGAGGAGGGGAGGGCCATGAACTCGTGGCTGATGGCCTCCATGCCCAGCTGCCTCCTTGGGTGGTGCGCAGCTACTGAGACCAAGCGTTGGGGTTAGAGACCCTGTAGAAGCAACCCCATCAAAGAGGGGAGGGGTGTACACAACAGAATGTCACATCTCCTGGAATCTAGAATCTCTCAGTCAGTGGAAGCTGGGTGACCTCCAAGCCGCCGCCCACAAACTGAAGCTGTCCCTGTGGCGTCCTCTCCGTCCAGCATGTCTGCTAGGCAAAGGGTCAGTGTGGGGTCAAGCCAGCTCTGATGAGGGGCTTGGCAATGCCTCCTTTGCAAAGGGCAGTGTCACCAGTGTCACTGATTGAAGAAGGTGGTCCATGCTGTTGAGCTGGTGTGGGTGCTGCGGCGCGCAGCTTCACACACACGTGGATCCCGTGATTCGATGGGATCCTGCTGCTGATGCTGACCTGCTTTGAGCTGCAGCGTCAGCCTGCCCTTAGGGGCTGCTGGTGAATGGCCGAGTGTGGAAGGAAACTTGTGGTTTTTCGTAGGCGCTTTGAGCCCCGTTTCCCTCAGGAAAGGAGCACTACCTCAGGTATATGTTTGTAAGCCTGAGATGGCCACTGGAGCTGCAGAAAGCTGAGCAGAGGGACTGCTGCCCCTCCCGCCCCTGTCGCCTGGCTGGCTGGAGGGACAGCGGCTTCTCTGCCTCTGCTCTGGAAAGGGCCCTCTGATGGGACCTGTGTTTGGAATGCCCTGGACCACCCCGGGCCGGTCCACCACTTGCTGGGGTGGAGGGAGGCCTGGGCAGGGGGTGGGGGTCCCTGTGTCCTCTAACGCCATGCGTGCCCTGCCACCTCTCCCCAGATCCGGCGGAGAAGCTCCAAGCGGGAGCGGCGGTGAGCGTGGAGCAGGAGCCTGCTGCTGAAAGCTCTGAAGACCACTGCTGCCCCCGCCGGCCGGCCGGTGTGAGGCTGCCGAGAGCTGGCTGCCCGCACGCGACTGCCGTTGCCCGGGCACGGCGCCCCCACCCGCTCGCTCCCGCCATGTGCCCCGCCAGGACACGGCCAGGCCTGAAAGCCCGTGTGGGTGCGGTGGCTGTGCAGACAGGAACTAAGAAAGACCCTGTAAATAGCCTCTTTTTTTTCTAGTGTTTCTGACTTCTAAAGTGCTTGTATAGTTTTCCCTGTGGCTCTGACCCCCAAGCCCGTGGCAGGTGGCGGCATGCTGGCCAGAGGGGCGGCCGCCAGCTCGTCTGTCTTGTCTGTCCACGTCTGTGTCCATGTCCTACGACTTTACTGTGAATCAGTAGTTCCAGTGGACGGCGTCCCACTTCTCTCTCGGCGGAGGGGCGCCTTGGGCTGGACAGCTCGTCCCGCCCTCCCCTCTGCTGCACCCGCACCCACCCAGTGTTTACTCCCCGGCACCCTTTGGTCGCCAGAGGTGCTAAGTCGTCTGCGCTGCCCAGGCCAGTGGGCGCCATCTCTCTGGGGACACAGGACATGGGCGCCTGCCGCCAGGCTGATGGTCAGCATCCCTCCGTTGGTCAGCTTATTTTACAACCTCAGTATTGGCCCCAGAACGCTCGGGCCTTCCACAGCCGTGGAAATTTTAGAGAAAGAGAGATTTAAAATATTTTAATTTTAAAGAGTGTGCTATAAAATAATGTACTGAATTCTTTATATCATTTTATCATCCCTTTTCAGTTTTTATTAATCTACTGTATCAATAAAATTCCGTAATTTGAATGAGTTGCCAATAGTCTAGAACATTCTTGTGTATAGCAGGTGCCTCTGGATCTTTACGTTCAGAGGATGCCCATGATTGCTGTGATCCTGTACACGTTAGCAGAGTCCTAGGTCCGGCCAGTGGAAGTTGGGTCAGAAGGAAAATGTACTGATGCAGTGTGTCTTTATAAAGCTGTTCTCGAAAGCCAAGTGTTTGTATTTTAATAGTGAGTTGCATGTTTACAGGAAGAAAAACAAAGTTCTGAACATGGGCTGTGCTCATTTCTGTAAATTCCTATTTAGCCATCATATATGAGAGGACTGCTCCATAACTTAGTTTTTCACCAAGAGTTTATTATTATGCTTTATTTGGAAGCCAAAAAACCTTTGTGGGTTGGGGTGGGGATTGTGGGGTGCCAGGACGGAGTGATAGATGCACCCACCTCTATCAGCTGCTGTAGGTTTTACAGTCCTACAAGCGGAGTAAATTTCGCTTTGTACAGGGTGGGCGAAGGGGAAACCTGTTGGGTTCAGAACAGCGCCAGCCTGCCTTTGCCGTCCTCCGCGGGACTTGGGAAGCAAGTCCCTGAGGCAGCAGTGCCCTGTGCACACAGTTGTGTGAACTGTGCTTTGAGCCAAAACAGAAGTCACTGCTTACCCTTCACGAAACTCACTTTAGTACCTCAGGTGCTACTTCCGTCCTGGTTTTGTTCTGTTGGCTTTTCTGTGATTGTCAACATCGGAAAAGGAAGTCATCCTCTAATGTAATAAATTTACCACGTCTAATGAAAGGAATTGTTCCGAGATTGGCGATCCGAGATGAGACTGTAATAAAGAAGGAACTATTTGGAAGGTGACCTTTTGCTGTTCCCAGTATGTG